CCCCCAAAAATTTAAAAAAAAATAAAAATTAAACAACTGAGATTTGTCATGTGCCAGATGAATTGGTATGCCATATAGTAAGAGTACACTCCTTGTGACTTATATGGTCGCTTTTAAGCCCAAGAAGGCTATCCCGAAAAATGCTGTTTTTAGAAAATCGAAGGTAAAGTTTTTGCCCCTTGTTCAGTTTCTTTAAAAGACAAGGAGAGTTTTCTTTATAACCAAACACATATACATATCCATGGAACCAAACTACTCCTATAGGTAGGGCGATGCCCACTTTTGGTGGAGGTCAAGATTTCTGGAAACCCCCGAAATCTGGGTTAGCCCGCTTGTCCCTAAAAGCGACCATATGGCGTACGCCGTTCATCATGTTTTCTTTACGGCGAAGAAAGCAAGTTGCTACTGTCACGTGCATCGTTCGACATGCCTTGCGAAATACGAGGATCATGATGACGAACGCTGGCCATCAAAGTTTGTGGGTGGTTGGCGGGTGCTCTAGTGTGGTTTGCTTCTTCCTTCCTATCAAAACCTATTGTCCTTTCGGCACTTACATGACCTTATTGTGTTGTAAGTGTCGTAAAACTCTTACTGAAACTATAGTTTGTGTTCGGCATACTGCTTCTATTAGATGTACTTCGTAATACTAATAGCAGATTCACCTTCAGCGACATGTTCCCCTGGTACAAAGAAATCGTTTCTTTGAGAGATAGTAAGTAGTACACACAAACCAGGTCTGATTATGATTATAAGCTTCCGACCGCTAAATCTAGCGCTATTTTCCCCCGGGGCATCCAAAACTTTGCCCGATGAAGCAAGAACTAACCCTGTGTCTTAAATAGGTGTGTCTTCTGTTCCCAGCCTGGGGCTATGGCATCGGGTTTGTGACAGTCGTAGCCATCATCTCCAACATCGGCGTGTGTATGGGACCCATCATGCACAAGAGGTACTTCAAGAGACTTCTGCAGTTCCTGGTGGCCATGGGGGCTGGCTCCCTGGCGGCTACTGGCTTGCTGGTATTGATTCCTGAGGTAATGGAGAGTGCGAGAGAGAGAGAGAGAGAGAGAGGGAGAGAGAGAGAGAAAGAGAGAGAGGAGAGCGAGA